ATACACGCATGGCTTTTGTTAGGGTGACGTGCCCTTACATGCATTGCTGCATTTGCTCACATAACTGGTCCATATATGCATTGTGTTTGCTATGGTTATAGGCCCATACATGAATTGTAATTGCGTGGTGTTTTCTCAGCAATGAGCTCATATAGGAAAACAGTAATTGTTCTATTTATGATTCATGCAGTATTCATCCAATTGCACTGAATTTAAAAGTCACCAGTAGTTGCTAGAAAGATAATATATAAATTTTGAGAGAGCCAACTAAGCATCCATGATGAGATGAGCATTTGGCCTCAAGTATGATTCATAGATAGACGAGGACCATCTCCCAAGCAGCTTGATTAAATAAATGGGTAGACCAAGTTTAGCTGCGGTTGTAGGTGGGCGGTCATAGAGGAATAGGGACAAAAGGAGGTATTTAGTCTACAGATTTTTATAGAAACACCAACTTCAGAGAAGTGAGGTGAGAACAGTGTGAGACCTTGTGTGGGATCGAATGACTGAGTGTCAGAAGTGAATTCCCCTGGATGCATGAAACCATAAAAAGCCATGAGAAAAACAGCCTCGAGTAAAATGTTAATGTATGGTGTAAAAAGACCCTCACATAGAGTAGAGATAAGTATCTGCAGTATTTCAGGAGTTTTGGTAAACATGTATCTGAAACTTTTTGTGTAGATTTATTTAAACCTTTAAGAAACAAGTGGATTGCTTGGTTGGAGAACAAACTAGGATAGCCGGGGTCATTACATCTAGCATGGAACTGGATACCTGCTAACATTCTGCGAATTGAAGAAGTTTTAAGATTGCGAGTCTGATAATTACGAACGATAAATGTGCAAACTGTGCAACAAGTATGGGAAAAATGGAATTTGTAGAAGACCACATGGAGTTATAAGCTTTGAGAGTGGAAGGGGCTAAGCCTTTTGACATATAATATTTAGCTGAATCTAGTAAGGCGTTATAATAGCTATTTAGTCCAAAATTAGTAGGGGAAAAGGCCGATGGGCAGAGACGTCTGAACTCCTATGAACAAAATTGAGAGTGCATCAGCAATAGCATTAAAATGGCCAGGAATATGTTCAGCTGTTAAAGTAAAGTTATGAATAACTGATTGCCATGTTAAATGTCTAAGTAAGGACATGATTGTTAACCTTCCTTTGTTAGTGATGGCAACCACGGCTTTGTTGTTGCAAAAAATATTAATACGTTTCCGTGACCAAGCCTCACTCCACAGAATGCTAGCGACGACAATGGGATAAATCTCGTGCAGTGCAAAGGAAGCAGATCCAAGGGCAAATTCAGAGCATTCGGCCGGCCATTTCTCTGCGAACCATTGCCCTTGGAAGTACCCCCCAAAACCAACAGAGGGAGCGGCGTCAGTAAACAAGGCAAGAGAGTCAAGCTGTAACCTAGAAGGCAAACAAAACCGAGACTCCCACTTAACGCCAAAGGGAAATCAGTCCGATGTGTGAATAGGCAAAATTTTAACGGCATCTGTTAGACGGATAGCATCATGAACTATGGGTGCAACGATTATTTGACTTAGCGGACTAAAATCGACGACAAAATTAGTTGGCAACTAATTTAGTAGTCGATTAGTTGGTGACGTCATTACACATCTTTCTCGCGCTCACTAGGAATGTTCTGACATTGCCGCTTACTGGACAGTTAACAACAGCGCGATGGCAGTCTCAAGGACAAACCCCTCCAAAGTGTGGGAGCTAAACTCAGAAAAAAAGGTAGTGAGTTGCGCTATTTGTAAAGCCGACCTTAGTTGGCACGGGAGCACATCCTCCATGATGGAGCATCTGAAGAGGAAACTCGTCGGTCCACTGAATGAAGATTCTCGGTAAGATACGCCGCGTCCCAAACCGCATACTAGCACACTAAATAGTGTGTAACAATAGCGCATAAACCATTAGAAGTGCACTCATTAGTGTAGTGTGTGAAGTAAAGAAGTGTGTGGTTTGGGACGTGAAGATAGGTGTGCTAGCGAGCTGGTTAGCTAATGTTAATGTTAAAAGTCCCACTTCATGTTATGAGCTGTAACGTTGCATGTTCTCTGGTATCGTTAATGGAGTTTGAACAGCAAGTAACTATTATTCACAGCGACTCTGTGCACTTTCCAGATAACGTTTAAGGAATGGGTGATCACTGGAATGCCGTGATCACCCAATAGCTGCAAAATCTTCTCAGATGGCCAGGGAGACCAGGGGGATTCCCGGGCGTGAATGCGAGCACTCCTGCGCGTAGATGTCGGTGGAGACGGGCAACAAACTCACCATCTGAGTCAGAAACGTGCAAACTCTGAAACTCGGAGTGAGACATGTCAGCTACGTGAGCAGAACGACGAAACGTCAGCATCTGAAAGCAGCAAAGCAGGTGTGTAAGTCGAGTCATTTTAAAGACAGGTGGAAGCTTGTGATTGGTCAGAGTAATGAGTGACGTAGCATTGGAGTCTCCCTGGCAGAACTTGCACTAAAGCTATGATTTCTTTGGCTCCGATGGTGGTAAATGTGAGAGTGCGCTTCAGTCGTGTGAAACCAACCGAACCTATTGATTTCCATAAAATCTAAGCAGACTCGTAATGCTGGGTCTCACTGCTTTGGTGTCTTTGCCCCAGAGAGGTGGTCTGAACTTTCCCCTGGACTCTGCACTGCAGTCAGTTCTCACGCTCAGTTCTTTCCTCTGTGGTCAGAAGACTCGTATCTTCAGGTGTTATCTATTTTAACACCTTTCTGCTCTCATTCACACCTCAAAGATGTGCAAGACACCCACTAACACTGGCCCCCCTGACCATGACAGACCCTGGTGTTTGAACTTTATGCTAGTAACAACAGTCTTTGAACAAGAGAACACAGCATTCATTATTTCTATACACAGTCTAAAAGTTTAACTTGTTGTCTTCTTGTTGTACTTTAATTCAAAATCAGTTCAAGGTAGAATTGAATCACTGCTTTTAACCCAACTTGGACTTGGGTTTGCAGCATTCAGACAAAACACATAAGGCAAAACACATTATGACAAAACACTGAAACAGAACTTCACACTAAGAAGTTAACAGGGACTCAGGAAGTCTGTCTGTCTTGGTTCTCTTACATCTCAGTGCTGCCTTTGATACTGTTGACCATGAAATTCTACTGGTTGCAGAACAAGGCTGGTGTCAATTTTGACAGTGACCTCAGTTTGCAAAAACTGCGCCACCGTGCCGCCAACACAACACTAATGTTAGTAAAACAAACAAAGTACTGAAGATGCCACTTAAATGCCTCTAATGGTGAGCAAATAATCCTGTCTCAGTAATCCTAAAGACGAGTGACTTAATGATCATTTACCAAAATCAGATTTGAGGACAATTTAAATAGAGCTAAAAGGTCTAAAGCTCAGAGAAAAAGGGCTGTGTGCACATTTCAGAGCTCAGACTGATTCTAACTACGGCAACATCTCTCTCTCTCTCTCTCTCTCTCTCTCTCTCTCTCTCTCTCTCTCTCTCTCTCTCTCTCTCGTGCTTTGTCTGTGAGTAAAGAGGAAGTGTTTAGGTCATTGTTCAGTCAGTCATTACTGGGGCAGTATGGAGCTCAGTCCACTCTCTCTGATGATCTGTGAGTAAAGATTCTCTTTATGTTGCTGTTGCTTTTTTGTATTTAATTTTTTATTGTTTTCACTGTAATTATCAGCAGAAAATGGATCACAATGGCTATTTGGTTAAGTTGGCACACACTAACCTTTATCAGACCTGCTTCTTCAGATCTTTCGGTCTCCTTCAGCTTCTTTCTCTCCCTCTCCCTGTCTGTGTTTACTAAAATAAACATTAAACTCAAATTTACAAGAACTTGAGGATCAATAAGTTCATTTTCTTGTTTAAACTGGCAAAAATATTCTCACCTGTCTGGTCTTCTGCTGAGCTGCCACCTCTTAATCACCATCTACAGACTGAGGAAATCAGAGATATAAAACTGTCACAATCAACACAACAACAATATTACCTATTATAGTAAACACAATATAGAGCTAATATTGGTGTGATTTTTAGAAATATTAAATAGAAATATGAAAAAAATCTTTAAATTCTAAAAATAGTTTGCTCTTCAGCTCACTAATGTTTGTGCTTTATGGCCTATCTGCTTTTCTTTACCTCACATCAAAGTAAAGTAGAAGTATCAAGTAAGTTATATGGTGTGAAATGACCACAGTAAGAATCACTGCTTTCTTTTACAGCCAGATTCAGTTTAGTTTGTAGATAACAGACAGATACACACATTGTTAAACTCTTTGTAACTTTGTCGTTTATTCATGCACAATCTCATATATATATATATATATATATATATATATATATATATATAGAGAGAGAGAGAGAGAGAGAGAGAAGTACTCGAGTCTGGTCTCGGTCCTTGTCTTGGTCTGGATATAATTGTGACTCAGCCTTGTTTCGGGCTCAGAGGTTGTTTTGAAGACCAGTCGAGTGTGATTCCTCCATCTGAGGTAATTAGAATCTGAACTTTTTATCTTTCATTATTGAATATCAACAAAACCATCAAAGAGAATAAAACTGTCCTTTAATCTACATCAGGGGTCTCACAGTAGCGGGCTGCAGGTCTGTCATGAGCTTGATTCATTCATCACACAGCAGTAGATACAGAGTGTCAGAATTAAGAAATGAACAGAATTATCAAACGAATCCACTGAGAAGGGCGGCGCGGTGGTGCAGTGGGTAGCGCTGTCGCCTCACAGCAAGAAGGGCCTGGGTTCGATTCCCGGCCGGGTGACCAGGGTCATTTCTGTGTGGAGTTTGCTTGTTCTCCCCATGTCTGTGTGGGTTTCCTCCGGGTACTCCGGTTTCCTCCCACAGTCCAAAAACATGCAGTCAGGCTGATTGGACATGCTAAATTGCCCCTAGGTGTGAATGTATGTGTGACTGTGTATGTCTGTTTGTCTGCCCTGCGATGGACTGGCGACTTGTCCAGGGTGTATCCTGCCTTCCGCCCATGACAGCTGGGATAGGCTCCAGCACCCCACCGTGACCCAGAAGGATAAGGGGTTTAGATGATGGATGGATGGATGGATCCACTGAGAACTCAGAATTAACTGCTCTTCATTCACAGTATTTCACTCAGTAAGTTCACTCACAATAACTTCACTTTGTACAGCTGAAACTTACATCATACTTACATCATGTTAACTAAAATAATTACCTAGAACTTTGGAGTTTGCACCTCTCACTTGCTGGCCTATATTTTTCAAAACACATTAAAATTTAGCATTTGAAATGTTGTCTTTGCACTATTTTTAATTAAATATAGGGTTTAAATGATTTGCATATCATTGCATTTTGTTTTTATTAACATTTTATACAGCGTCTCAACTTTTTTGGAAACAAGTTTTTAGTACAGTCTGTTAAGACTTGTCAGCTTTACTTGATATTTGTTAGTAAAACTCGTTTGTCTATCTACCTTGTTTAATCTAACATTTGTGTGCTGTCATTCTCTTCAGCCTACATTCCCCTGGGTGTCTGCCTGTTTACTGTGTTTTAGAAACCCCTCTATTCAAAAGTTGGTATTGTGTGAGTTATCTTGTTCCCACCTGCTGAGTGTGGTTCTGTGGTGACTGGATTCTGCACTGACTGCTTTTGCACAATCCTGTGAACCAAGTTGCATTTTACAAGTTGGTTCAGAGCACTAAAGATGCTGTTTTCTTTAATTAAAATACATCACTTTACACAGCTTATACAGTTTGGAGTTGTTATTGTCATGTTAGTATGTAAAGGATTCACTGCGTATTGAGCAAAATACTCATTTACTTCCTCAGTAGTAGCCAAATACATGTACAGACAAACACAGCCCTCCAACCCTCCTCTCTCTCCCTGACTCCTCTACATCCCCTCAGACATGCTAACCTCACCTGCTCTACAGGAATGTATGTGTTTATAAACAACAGAACAGTAACTCTACAGTTACTCAAACCATGTCAGTTTATTTTGCCCATCAGTTTTAAACATAAACTTAATTTTGAGCTCTTAGTGTCGTGTAAGTGACTGTAATACTTCACTGTATAACAGACTGAGTGGCCTGTTGTAAGAGCCAGAAAAGTCTAGTAGTTTAATTTTTGGTAACACTTGGAAATTGATTTTTGGCCTCAAATTAAATCAACAAATATCAGCTCTAAAAACTGAAATGTTTTATTAATATGACATCAATAGTTGTGCTGCTGCTGTACTTTATCAAAATGTTTTGTTCATTTTCTAAGTGAAAATGTATTTAATTTGAAATGTGTACCGTACACCGTAAAAAGTGGTTCGTCAGATCTACTTAAAAAATATACTTCATGTGGTAACAAGCAATTTAACTAGTTTTATTCAACCTAAATAAATACTTTAAATGAATGATCATTTCAACCAAAGTAATTTTTTGAGTTGAACAAAACTAGTCCAATTGCTTGTGACCACATGAAGTAATTTTTTTAAGTAGATCTGTTACACTTTTTACAGTGTATGTTGAGGTAAACCAGGTCAGGTGTGGAAATTGTAAGTGTTTGTAAAGAGCATCACATTATATTCACAAAGTGTACAATGCAGGTAAATGAGCATTAGCAGCTTCATGTTCATGCATACAGCTTACAGTATAAACATTCAGGTATAGACAGTATAAAGCTTAATTGTGTTAGAGAGCTCCAGTTCAAAGTGCACTGTGTATACAGTCCCATGAGCTAGTTTAGATATGTTGAGTAAGCTGGGAGGATCAGGGTTTAGATCATTAACAGTCCATAATGTGTATTTATGTTCTGGTTGGTGTTGCTGGTGTGACCAGTTTAATAGCTTGCAAATAAAAATGTTTTTGAATCTGGTGGTTCTGGCTCGGATGTTCCGGTACCATCTTTCCTGATGGCACATGTTGAAACAGGCAGTGGCTCAGAGGAGATATTGCTGGCTTTCCTCAGACATCTCTTGTTGTAGATGTCCTGTATGGGTGGGAGGTAGCTGCAGTGATGTGCTGGGCAGTTTTCACCACCTTCTGCAGTGTCTTATGTCCAGCAGCAGTGTGCTGCCATACCAGACTGTGATGCAGCTTGTCAAGATGCTCTTTACAGTGGACCTGTAGAAGTTGCAGAGGAGCTGTTGTGGCAGGTTGACTCTCTTCAGCCTTCAGTGGAGGTCAAGTTGGGCCTTTTTGACATTGTGTGATGTGTTGAGTGACCAGGTGTGATGTGACTATAAGGACATTGAGGAACTGCTCTTCTTTTCCACCATCGTCCCTTCGATACTCAGTGATGAGTGCACTCTACTCCCACTTCAATCTAGAGGGGGTGATGGTATTGAAGGCAGAGCTGAAGTCAGTAAACAGCATTCTGACATAGGTGTTCGTTTTATCCAAGTGGTTGACTGCAGTAGATCTTTTTGTGCTGTAGGCAAACTGATGAATGTGGCTTTAAAGCAGGCGGGAACAAAACACCGTGCCAGGGAAAGGTTAAAGATGTCAGTGAAAGTGGCAGCCAGCTGGTTGGCACACGCTCTCAGGACCAGACCTGGAATGCCGTCTGGACCTGCTACTTTCTGAGCTGAGACCTTCATCAGTGCTCTCCTCACTTTATGAGTGCTGGCTCCTCCGTATGGTCAGTGACTGCTTGGATTCCTTGTCATATGTCTTGGGGATGTAAGCTGGCATTGAAGGCTACAATTTGTGTGCCATTCTTGTGTCTGCAGCCATGATTCCAGCCTTTAGGTTGTGTCTGACAGTTTTAAGTTCTTCACTGTTGCTAGATTTGAAGGCTGCGTCATGAGCTTTCAGCAGACTGCAGAGTCTGTTTAACTACGTAAGTAAGTTACATTTTGCCCAGCGTTAGGTTGAGCGCTGCTTTTGCCCAGACTGGTTAAAGAAATGATAATTTAGTTGACTTACTCTTGTGATAAACTTGTGATTTTAACAGTTCATTATACATTCTACCTGTAATAGCAGCTAACAGTTTTACAATAATGCATTATGTCTTTTGTTTCTCTCCTACTATAGTGCTGATTGTGCTCTTCCACTGTGGACAAACTCAAGGTAAATCATTTCATGAACATCTACTGGATTAGTTAATTAGCTCTCATGTACACCTGCATACACATCTTATTCTTCACATTTAATACACAATAATTTCCACAACTAGCTATGAGAACACTGAGGTCTTATCAATGGTAGTTCCTGAAGGTTTGTGTTTCTTTTTTCTTCATAACTTTAATTATGATGTAGAAACAGCTCTGTGATGTGTTGGCAAAGTGTACTCTGTAAAAAGTGGGTCCTCAGATCTACTTAAAAAAAAAAGTACTTCATGTGGTGACAAGTAAATTAACAAGCATCATCAGGGAATCAGTGGTAACATATCTGACTATGTAAATCAATTGTAAAAGTCAATTGTGGCAGGTATTTACCCAGATAAGCTTGGAGTTCAGTTCCAGTGTTAGCCTAGAACCTCCTACTGTACACTAAAGAACATGTCAGATATCAAACATGTCTTGTCTTATCGTCTGTATCTGGGGTAAGTGGTTAATCATTTTAATTAGATTTTTTACTGAACTATTCTTTTAGGAACAAGTTTTGTCTGAATAATGAATAGAAGGTTTACTTTCCAAAACTACTGTGAAACTCTTCTGGCTCTGCAGTCACTGCATTACTAAAGCTACTTGTTACATAATCACCACAAGACACAATCATACAGTTCCCAATGGAGCAGGAATTCTAAATGTTCTCAGCATGATACTCAAGTTCAAGAGTAATAACTTGTTCTTTGTTCTGTTAGTCATTATTGGACCTACTAAATCAAAATCTTGGGAAAATAAGTCATTATTTCAAGTTAATTACAGTTTGAACCGTAATCAGAGGATAAAAACATTTTAGCAGTTCATCTAGCAGTGAACAGATTTAATAAAACATGAAGATAAAGGATTATTTGTATTGACAGAAATATGACAGGAATAAAAAGTTGCATTCCAGTTACCTCAGATGGAGTCTCTGCACTCAGATCATTAATGTACAGTCTTGACCAGACTTGAGACTGAGATGCCCTCCAGCACAAAGTGTAGGTATGCAGTCAATAATTAGTGCCTCTTTTAGTAAATCTGCCCCTTAAGAATGACAAAGAATACAAGTTAGTTATGATGCTCATACACAGTGAAGACTCTGCCAGCACAGGATGATGACTGTGTGAACTTCACCTCTCTGAAGTATGATTGACACTGAAATCACAATAATGCTGCACTTACGCTGCTCTGGTGCGTCAGCGGATGTGGACACATCTTCCCTCTTCAGTTGGCTACATGTGGGTGTTATGAGGGAGTTCTCTCCCAGTGAATATGTATGTAATTAATGCATTTATTTGATTTTTGGAAAGTCAATGTGCGATGCATCATTAAACTAATATTTCATGTAGTTTAACTAATATGATTCTATAATACAATATAAACTGACTGGTTTTAATTTTTGAATGTTAAGCAGTTCTATTTATTGTCATGAATAAAAAATAATAATAAAACTAACCTAAATGAAACAAAAGTGAAACTATACTGAACTAGTTCATTTACTTGTTACCACATGAAGTAATGTTTTTAGGTTTAATTGATGAGCCTTTTTTTTTTTACAGTGTACCCATTTCATCTGTTTGTTTCTTTCCATTCTTTCACTGCTTTGATTCCAGTTTGACTCTTTTATTCTGTGAATTATTTAACTACTTAATTTATCATTTATTTTCATCTGAAATAGGTACACTGTAAAAATGGCTAAGTGGTAACAAGTAAATTAACTACTTTAAGGTTGAATTGACGAGCCATTTTTTTAAAGTGTATATAAAGCAGTAATAAAGTGGTGAAAAAAACAAAGGAGTTTAGAAAACAGCACTTCTGTTTCTGCACATATCTGGCAGTGTGGTTTACTCAGTGTGTGAAGTAGATAACATTTTTGCAACATGATCCTCAATAAATCTTAATCCTGGTTATGGACCTGTAGTGTTCCAAATACATGAAAAATGATAACACACACCTTTTATATTGAAAGCAAGTGCAAATTGTAATTGAAGCTAACGTTGCACTGTAAAAAATGACTCGTCAGATCAACCTAAAAAAATTACTTCATTTGGTAAAAAGTAAATGAACTAGTTTTATTCAAACTAAATAAATACAATTCTTTTAATCAGTGTAATTTCAATGAAGTTTGAATGAAGTTGAATAAAACTACTTCATTTGCTTGTTACCACATGAAGTCTAGGTTGATCTGATGAGCCACTTTTTACAGTGTGTCAATGCATAATAGGTCAAAGATGATAAAGGGTTTTTAAAGAACAGACAAATTCAGAAGTTAAAGTGCAGCCTGACTGAACAAACACATTCATAGAGCATAGAAACATTAAACTCATTAGTCTCAAATCATGTGATTAGGATGATAATCTACTTCTTATATTATAAAGAGTAAAGCAGCTCTGCTGACCTCATTTTATATCAACAGCACCACTCAAACCAACTGTGAGGGTGGAGCTTCAGAGCCCAGACACAGTTACTCTGAGCTGTGAGATGCTGCAGTCTACTGGAGAGAAGTTTATATGGAAGAAAAACTCTCAGGATGTACAACATTATCTGAACTCCTTGTTTTGTATCACTGTCAAAACAAGGAGGAACAGAGTACAGGTGTGCAGCACGCATGGAAAACTATTTTACACAATACAGTGATCCTGTCAGGATTACAGTAGTAGGTGTGTCATATATTTTGTTTCATTTTAGACAAATGACTTGATTTTAGAATGACTATGAAAACAAATATATAAAATGGTTCTATAATATTCATATTGATGTTTTGAAATAATTTCATGAACCTTCAGAGTATCTATGCACTCTTCTCCTAAATTTGTTCAAACTGCAGTCCCACAGTGGGGAAAAAAACAAAAAATAAAGTATTTATAAAGTGAGACGGCATCTCTGTCTCTCGTGGCCACAGAGAGAACAGGTAGATTTCATTGTTTTGAAGTAAATGTGTCCCAAAGACTTAAGAACTGTCACTACCAAAATACGTATATTCAGCAATTAAGTAAACTTCTTGTTGTTTTAATGAAAAATGTTATGATTTTATGTATGTACAACTGTTTAAAGCTGTGATAATGATGTACTGGCTAACATTTTGGAATTGATACTTCAAATTAGCTAAACTTATCACTACAGAAACAATGTTAATTAAGGTATAGTTTCACTAAAAGCAAAAGAATTTTAGTCTAAAGTCCAGGTCCAAAATGAGGTTTTAACTCTGAATAATTTCAGTAGAATGATGCATTTACCTTTCAAAAGTATTTGTCATCTTTGAACAGAGAGACCAAAAAAATATATATTTTTCTGCATGTTTAATGCAAATAAACATTTAATTCAGAGAGGACTGAAAATCTCTAAATCCTGTGTCTGCTCTTAGCCACACTTATTTTGAGACTTATTTTGAGGCACAAAAACCTTGAGCCACTGAAACCATCTAATTTCCCACTTAGCATAAAACACAGTGTGGTATGCACCCGCCCCCCCGAGGTTCGTCGCCGCTGGGTGTTCGGCCAGGACGCCAGGGAGAGAGCCACGAGTGGGGAGGGGGCGGAGCGCAAAGCCCAGGCTCCCCCGAGTGACGCGAGTGACGGCTGAAGGAGGAAGACGACGACGGTGCCAGCAACGAGAGGCACCAGGGCAAGGAGCGAGTCCCGAGCTCCGCCGCCTGGACCCCCGCCCCCTACATCTCACGTTCGACCCGGGCGGCTGAGCTGCAAGCTGGGGGTGGTGACGGGGAGGCGGAGTGGCGAGCTCTCCTTCCCTCTCGGCTCAGGGGCTGGCAGCGTGAGCGCCTTTTAAAAGAGCTGAGAGGGAACAGAGAAAGAGAGAGGGACGAGCAGCAGCAGCGGCAGAGACAGAGACAGAAGAGCTTATTTAGGAGAAGGACTGAAAAGTCTGGCTGAAGCCACTGAAAAGTGGCCAGCCTAGCATAGAGCAGTGTTGGGTTGTTTGAGTTTGTATTGTTTATTTTGTGTGATTAAAGAAATATGGCTGCTGCAACCCTGAACCCTGCCTCCAGCGTCCTCCTTGAGCCTGGGGTAGCACATGCCGTGCTACACACAGATATTTTAATTATGCTCAGGTAAGGGTTTATCTGCGGTCCAGGAGTCAGATTTGACCGAATTGTGGTATTTACATGCACATAATCACCAGTGATGACTTTAATAAAGGGTTGTTTATTGATAGAAGTATATAAGCCGTAAATGATGGATTACAAAAGATATATAGACACTAAATATTAGATAACCAGTTATGAAGAGAAACCGGAGGTCGTAAATTCACCAAACAAACAGACGGTAATGCCTCCTCGCATGTGCTGGAGAAGGGTCCATGGGTCGAAGGCGAGGCCGACGAAGAATGAACCTCATGGGCGCCGCATCTGACCAGACCAAAAGGGCGAGGCGGGCTTTCAGCTGGCTCATGTCAGTATCTGGTGAGGTGGCTCTTGAGCTTGCTTGCAGTGGTTTTTAGCTGGTGAAGTCGGCCACAGCTTTACGCTGAGCCGCTGGAGCAGACTCTTTTAATGCACAGTATTTCAGTCAGTGCTGTACTAACTTCTATTTCTACTCTTATACTATGTTCACAGTGACCTATCATTGCCAATTAGACTTTTACAATGAATCGACAAAACATGAAAACAACTGCAGCTAGATGCAGCTATTTAACAGTCTAGCAGTTACCAACATTTCAAGATTACCAAGTTAATGAAAAAAATCAAACTGGACAAAAATGAAACGAACTGAGACATGAAACTAAAACAACTAAAACTTAAGATCTGCAGAACTAAACTGCTGTGTTGGTCAGAAAAGAAAGAGGGCTTCTTTGTCGCGGTCACATGTTGTCTCTCTCTTCTCATGTCTCCTCAACTGACTGGCTGACTTCCTGTTTTCGTTTTAAAAAAACTTTGAGATGCGGATTTAAGGAGGTGCTAAGGGGGGAAAAAAGGTTTTCGTACTCAACTTCTGATGAATATGCAAATTCGTTGCTAGCTGCTCGAATTCCATTGAAGCAATTTTACAAAAACTGGACAAGGTCACACTTAAGTAAAGTTTCCAAGTTTTATTTGTCACATACATAGTCATACATAGTACAGCTAGCAGTGAAATGCTTGAATAACTGCCCACTCACCTGACGCAATAAGGAATAATAAGCAAAAAGGTAATAAGAAATAAAAGCAATAAGGTAATAAGAAACAGCAGTCAAATAAAGGAACAATATTGTATAGAAAAGATCTAACTAAATATCCATTTATGAAATATACATTAGAACACAATGAATATATGAAATGTGCAATGTACACATGGCATTTGGGAAGTAAAGTGCAAGGTGCAAAATGTGCAAAGTGAAAGAGCAACATAATGCTGTGCAACTGAGCAAGAGGTAGTATAAATAAATTATAAGTGATCAGTGTTCAGTGCAGAGTCCTGTGTGTGATTGGTGTGTATGTGTGTGAAGTGGTCCTATTTGTTCTGTTTGCTTGTGGGAAGAAGCTCCTCCTCATTCTCTCTGAGTTTGCCTTCAGGGAACGAAAGTGCTTTCCTGACCGCAACAGAGAGAAGAGTCCATTGTTGGGGTGGCTGAGGTCCTTCATGTTCCTCCTGGCTTTGATTTAGGACTGTTTGCTATAGACAGTCTGCAGGTCAGGGAGCTTGGTCTGAATAATGCGTTCAGCTGACCGCACCACCCCCTCAAGATCCCTTCTGTCCCACCCGGTGCTGTTTCCAAACCAGACTATGATGTTCCCTGTGAGGATGCTTTAAATGCTGCAGGTGTAGAAGTTCCATAACACTTTGGAGGGCAGTCTGAAGTCGCTGGTGGGCCTTCTTCACCAGAGAGTTGATGTGGCCAGACAGTGACAGGTCCTGCGAGATGTGAACTCCAAAGTATTTGAAACTGTCTACTCTTTCCACTGTAGCTCCATTTATCCATACAGGATGGTAGCTCCTCGTCTGCTTCTTGCTGTTGTCCGCTATCAGCTCCTTAGTCTTGCTGACGTTAAGGAGGAAATTATTATCCTGACACCAGTTCTCCAGGTGCTTATTCTCCTCCAGGTAGGTCCTCTCAAAATTGTCAGAGATCAGACCCACTACAACAGTGTCGTCAGCAAACTTGACAATGGTGAATACAGCAGGGGGCTCAGGACACAGCCCTGGGGGGCTCCAGTGCTGAGGGTGAGGGTTGGTGAGGTGTGTTTTCCTACCTTTCCACAGCTTGTGGTCTGTCTGTCAGGAAGTTGAAGATCCAGTGACACAGGGATAGATAAAGTTCCAGATCGTCCAACTTGGTGTGGAGTTTGGAAGGGATAATTGTGTTAAATGCTGAGCTGTAGTCAACAAACAGCATTTTAACAAACTTATCCCTCCTAGTGTCCAGGTGAGACAGTGTTGTGTGGAGCATATGTTATGACATCATCTGTACCATGGTTGGGTCAGTATGCAAACTGTAGTGGATCCATGGAGACTGGCAGTGAAGAGGTGATGAAGTCTCTGATCAGCTTTTCAAAGCACTTCAGCTCGACTGATGTGAGGGCTACTGGGTGATAGTCGTTAAGGCAGGCTGGCTGTGGTTTCTTTGGGACAGGGATGATGACTGACTGTTTAAAGCATGTTGGAACGACTCCAAGCGTCAGGGAGGTGTCCTCATGCAGGTGTTTATACCTGTAAGGGAACACAGTCAACAGGCCGAATATACACACACACCAGTGAAGCTGTTACACTGACTGTATCAGGTGAGTGTAGCAACTTTCATACATAATTTTCATCAGTAAAGCTGAACTATAGAAGATTTGTTATGAAAATTGAAAGAGGTAGCAGGGAAAGAACACACTAAAATGTAGTATTTTTGTACTGCAACGATTCACCCAGTAAAGCCAAAAATAGTTTAAAAGAAGATATGACGACATAGTAGATCATTCACTCACATCCTCAAAAGAAATATCCTTTATTAAGTTTTGACTGAGTTCTCATCAAATTTATTTACTCAGGGGTCACATAGCACAACTAATGTACTCATAGCACAACTAATGTTGCAAAATATTGTTCTGCATGTTTCTTGCAATCAACAGACCGAATATACACACAAACCAGTGAAGCTGTTACACTGACTGAGTGTGGTGTCTTTCTCACTTCATTTCTATCATTAAAGCTGCACTACTTAAAATGTTTTAATTAAAAGTGAAAGAAGTAGCAGAAGAGAGACGGAACCCGTCATACATCTTTACATATTAATGTCACATGAACAGACTCAAAAAGAAAGACCAGCTTGATGTTTAAGTCTTCAAGGCAGAAATAACATTACACTGATGAGGATGTGATAACAATAGTAGAACAGTCATACAGATGAAATAAGCAATAGCAGTAATTTTATTATTACTTTAACCTCAAATGAAAATCTAGGGTAACTCGAGTCATCTAGCACAACTAACCACAGGAAGTAAAGAAACATGCTTACATGAAGGATTCCTCGATCAAAGGACAGTTCATCGGGCTAAATATCAAATAACAAAATTCTAATTACTGTCAATGATCTAGTTGATTATAAGAGCACACAGAACTCAATGTGATCAAGCTCATGACTCGCATTAACTAATAAGACTTAATGCATCCTTCTGGGGAAGGGTGAGTCAAAAACTTTGAAACATGAATGTAAGGGAAGGCTGGAGTTAGCTGATATATGTTTATATGTATCTCAAAAAGAGGTCTAAACCTAGTAGATTAAAGAGTGTCACCAGCTGAGCGCATGAACAGAGACCGCTGCCTTACTTTGAGAAGCTGAGCTGGACCTTCCCTGAAGTGTAGAATGGGTCCTCACACACTCTTGCACCATGTAAGCAGCGGGACAGGCATATATTTGTAGTGGCGTCAGTGATCAGGCTGGCTGTATTTGGCAGCAGCCCTGGGAGGAACGCTTCATTACTTCCAGGTGGTGGGCCTGCTCGCAACAGTGGGTTTGTAAGAGAACGAAACGGCCAGGTGGGTGGCAGCACAGCGAGTGTAGTTCCAAAGTTCTTGGGACCAGGCTAGACTTCCGAGTCTCAACCGGGTGACAGTTCCGCGTATGCTCAGATTTGGAGGCTACATGATGCTACCTGTAAACTAATTTCCTCGGTGGTGCTAAGATTAAAGTGAATTAATCTGTCTTTGGCCATGTGACAGACTTCTTTAACTCTATCTCTAAGCATGACTTGAAGAGGCATAAGGGAGACACAAAACAAACTACATAAACACGTGGACAAAACAAAAGACAAGTTTCTCAGATCTGATTGCAGAGGTTCTATACACTAGTCTAGACTAGAGGTCTGCACTCTGGACCTGGCACTATATCTTGCAGCATGGGACTAATTTTGTGCACAGGATGGGGTGGAAAACCAGCCCACTGCAAGCGGGAGCTGGCCAAACCCCGCATGAAGAGAAATCTCGCAAATTAATGAATAGTCTAAATAAAGAAGAACGATCACTAAATCATACATACAATCAATATAAAAGGATAACAGTAAAACAGTTAAAATGAAGTCATTCTAAAGAGTTGCAAAGCAACAGATCACGTGATTCACATGTGAGATTCACACATACTGCTTCTGTGTGGTGTGAGCGGCACGAAAAGTCTTGTTTTTCATTTCAGCACCCATGCTAATTGGTCAGCGCTTTCACACAGGCTGCGCATACGAAGGGGAAGAGATGCCGCAGTGTTTAGAGAACAGACCCGGCACCCTTTTTTTCCATGTGCCGTGCGCATCACACAGTAAAATAGGCAGAGAAGAGGTGATGGTTCATTTGGTGTTTGGTCTGTTTTGTGGTCATATTTTAAACAAACTACACCACAGTTTGGTTAGAATTACACTGAGTTTGAATGGCAGTGTTCTCACTTGTTTTCTAACAAACTGCTAACAGAGTAGTCACATCAGGATGTGAGCCACACGATAAAAACAATCGATTTTCCTAATGTGTGATGTATTTCCAAGAGAAAAAATAGCATCAGTGAGGATATCTGAGCTAGCTGAGTGTTTTGTCCAATTACAGGTGTGGGTGGTGAAACTTGATATTATTCGCTTTTTTTTCCCCCTGCCCTTTGGTGCACAGTAACATAGTCAAAAATCAGAAGACGTTTTAGAGGCAGGCAAAGTTCACTAAACTTTGATCGACATTTACAAGAAAATAAGATAACATAAAGTAGAACTGTTGCCTCACAGCAAGAAGGGCCTGTGTTCAGTTGCCAGCTTGGGTGACCAGGGTCCTTTCTGTGTGGAGTTTACATGTCTGTGTGTTGCAGTATGTCTACTTTTTGGGGAGGATCAGTGCAGGTTTGGGAATCTGGAGTTGGTGGATTATTTTTGGTTGAAGCTTCATGAGAACAATGAGAACAAACAAATTTTAATACATCATGCAACACCCTCAGCAGGAGCATAGACGTTTATGGGTAGGGAGGCTAAGACTGGGGTCTGGGGGCATAGTCCCCCAGAAGAATTTTGCTGGCTGTTCCTTATGGACTTTTATAGGAGCAACAGCCAGAAAATGTATGAAAATGGCTATTTGGTCAAAGTGGCACATGGTAGATTTGGCTTTTTGTAGTTTGTATTAAGTTCAGAGCTAGTATGACTTAAACACTTTATCCATCCACTTACAAGAGGCACAGATCAAGCAAAGGTACTGAAGTCAAGCAATGCTCTGTCCTTTCTTTTAGTTAAACTGCATGGTCCTAAATATATTATTAAAATACTCAGATTTTAGATCAGTACAGTCTCAGTTAATACAATCATAAAGAGTGTGATTTGATCCATGCTTAATAAGCTAGGTGACAGCCTCAAGGTTGCACCCTGTTATCACAGCATCTTGTGAATTTGTAGATGTGATGACACGTCTATAATAATGAAAAACATATGAGAATAAAATATAGATGATTTTGAACAGGTAATGCACGTATATTTGGAAAGGTCTAAAACTGGCTGAGTGATGCCCATGACCGTTACAAAGATGTTCAATTGGGAAGAAATTAATTGTACAGAAACATAACAACCCCAAACACCCTGATGAGAAAATGAAGACTTGCTTATCTAATAAAAATTCTGCTGGTGTTCTTAGAACAATGGACTGACCACCACAGACCTCAACATCACTGAACCTGTGTGGGATTATTTGGATTTTGAGAAAATGAAAACTTCTAAGACGGTGTATTCTTCTGTTAATAAATGAATAACATAAAATGAAAAATAAATGACTGAAAGACTCTCACTCTTGCAGAGAACTGTGCAAGATTAATAATTTAATCTCAGATCTTTGGCTCTTACTTCAATAATGGAAAAAGAATCAAAGGTTAATAATTTAATCTTAAAAGCTGTAGGTTTATTTCAAAAACAGTGTCCATAAAGCCTGATAAACAGGTGTTTAAAGGAGAGGCGGTCACTCTGAGATGTGAGGAGGAGGAGGAGACACTGAGTGGACTTACAGCTGGTATAAAGATGGCAGTTTGTCCCCAAACAGAAGAACACAGGAGTTCACAATCAGCTCTGTTACATAGTCTAACGGTGGTAAATACACCTGCAGAGGAGAAAGAAAACATGACTCTCAGAGCTCAGAGATCAGCGATGCTGTTACACTGACTGTGTCTGGTGAGTCTGTGGATTTGTTTTAATATTCTCATTAATTATACTGTATGTAATGATCTTATCACTGTGTATAAACTTGATTTAGTCTATTATATTCTCCATGTTCTCTCTGTCAGATGTAGCTCAGGCAGTATTGAGTGTGTCTCCACAGAGCTGGCTGACTGAAGGAGACTCAGCGACTCTAAGCTGTGAGGTTACAGGCTCCTCTACAGGCTGGACATTCAGCTGGTACAGAGCTGTTCTCTACAGACAAGGCTTACAACAAATAAGAGACATTCATGACAATGTTCTGTATCATGTAGAGCTCCTGTCAGACAGCAGAAGAGAAGCTGGAGGCTCCTACACTCTCAGTCCTGCTGCTCTAAATCACATAGGAGTTTATGTGTGCAGAGCAGAGAGAGGAGAACCAGCCTATCAGACACAGTACAGCACTGCACAGACACTATGGATCACTGGTGAGGAAATATGATGAATTAGTATATGTATGTTGTATTTATCAAACCCATTCAGTTATGTTAGTATTTAGCATTAGTATTTATCATCATGCTACATGTGTAACTTGTGTGCATGTTCAGGTTCATCTCCTGCAGCCTCTCTGATCATCAGTCCCAGCAGAACTCAACACTTTAGTGCTGGCTCTCTCTCACTGAGCTGTGAGGGACAGAGTGACTCTACTGGATGGAGAGTGAGGCGATACACACACAGTGGGGAGGTGTCAGATTGTTCATCAGTTACAGGATCTACATGCAACATCAGCTCCCTCTACACATCCCTCACTGGAGTTACTGTCTGAATCTGGAGGAGGAAGTGATCCTCTCAACATCACAGTGCACAGTGAGTCTCCATTAATCTAAGCACTAATAGGGGTTCAATACAGAATTTTCATGAAAGCTTTTTAATTAATTAATTGTTAAAAATGTAAATACTTCAATACTAGATTAACACCTTAGTATAGGAGGACATTGTAGAGCCCTTATTTCTATGACTTCTATGAATAATCTATAAACTTAATTCTATGACTTCTATCACTACCTGAGTGATGGGTCTACATGAATGCACTTATTAATGAACTCTGATAAAATACATAATTAGTTACATTGTGTCCCATCAGAGTTGTTTATTTTTAT